CAGGCCGGCATGTAAGCTGCGCTGCCTGCAAGCTTAGCTGGAATCGGACCCTCTTCATCACTTTCTCCGTGCCGTCCTTGGCTGTGCTCTTGCAGAGGTTTGTTTTTCCTGTCCCTGCTCCCATTTTGTCCCCTCTGCTGTCTCTTTTTCCTGCAAAGCCACAGTGATTCTTCTTTTTTTCTCCCCAGTTTTTATTGTGATTTGGGTGAAAGTTTACAGAGCACGTTTTCCATATGGTAGTTCATACACATTTTGTTTCATGACATTGACTGCAATTCAATTTCTTCCCACTTCCCACTTCCTCCCTGTAGTTACCTCCTCCCGTGTCCTTCTTTCCTGTGCATTCCTGCCCCCAAACTATCTCCCTGTGCAAATACTGCCCTTCTGTTCTCCCACGATTGATCGTTCTAAGGTGTGTATCTGCCTGATGTAAATGTTCACCTTATATGCCTGTCTGTTGTTTGGCTGGAAGCCATGGGAGTGAGCTCAATTCCAGACCTGAAGGGTAACTAAGGGAGTGTCAAACCAGTAAACCTGGTCTTTTTATGATTTTGAGTTTTGTTCCACATTGTCCTCCCACTCTATCCAGGATCTGCTGCACTGATCCCTTTCCGAGTGGTTGACGGTGGTAGCTGGGCACCATCTAGTTCTTCTGGTCTTATGGTCATATAGGATGAGCATCGCATGGTGTACCAGTCCCTTGGACTAATTGTTTCCATGCGTCTTTGGTTTTCTTCATTTTTCTCTGCTACGGATGAGGAGAGACCCATCATTGCATCTAGGTGGCCACTCACGCCACAGTGAATCTTGTAAGTCAGATCACGTCGCTCCTCTACCCAAATTCCTCAGCGACTCTTCATCGCAGAACAAGAGCCAAAGTCCTGTGGAGCCTAGAAGCCCTCCTTGATCTGGCCGCCAGCTCCTTCTCTAGCCCCTCCATCCCCTCCCCTGCCCTGCCCTGCCCCTGCCTGAGCTGCTGCTCTTCCTCGGGGACTAAGCATGTTACCGCAAGGCCTTTGCACTTGCCCCATGGGTGTTGACTGCTCAGCCCCAAGATGCATGCAGGGCTTGTTCCTTCATTTCCTGTAGGTCTCTGTTCATACCCAGAGGCTTCCTCAACCACCTTTAAAATACCACACCAATCCCCCGCGATCCCTCACCTCCTTGCCCTGCTGTGGTTTTTCCAATTTCCTTTTTCTCACTGCATGATACATGACCCATTTGTTTGTTGTCTGGTCACATTTTCGCATAAGAATGAGAGCCCTGTGAGGACAGGGCCTTTGTTTTATTTGCTTTTGTATCCACAGTACTTAAAATACACCCATTGCTCTTGAGTCCATTCCAACTCATAACAAGCTTATGAGACAGAGTAGAGCTGCCCCATAGGGTTTCCAGGGCTGAAGTCTTTACGGAAACAGACTGACTCATCTTTCTTCTGTGGAGCAGCTTATGAGTTCCAACCACTGACCTCTCGTTGAGTGCTTAACCACTGTGCCACCACGACTCCTGTACTACGTAGAGTAACACCCAGAGCAGCATTGTTGCTGTTGCTTCTGACTCATTGTAACCCCAGTGTGACAGAGTGGGACTTCCCCATAGGGTTTCCTAGGCTGTCATCTTTATGGGAGCAGATCACCAGATCTTTTCTTGTGGAACAACTGGGTGGGTTTGAGCCAGCAGCCTTTTTGTTGCACCACCAGAGCCCCTTACCTGGCATACAGCAAGTTCTACTCTGCCCTATAGGGTCACTATGACTCAGAATGGACTTAACAGCAGTGGGTTTGATTTTTTTCTTTCTTTTTTTGGTTTAACACATGTAACTTAAAAGAATGGCCTCAGCCATTGCTCCTTCCTAACCCACTTAAGAAAGGACATGTCAATCAACCCCCCTAAAGGAGGGTGACCAACCATCCTACTTTTCCCAGGAACGAAGAGGTCCTGGAGTTTTCAATGCTAAAACTGGGAAAGTCTCAGCAAATCAGGCCAAGCTGATCATCCTGCCTTAAGCCTACGTTTCCTGTAACACAAGAGCATGTGTATGAAATGCCTGGGTTGTTGTCTAGTTCTAAGGAAACGCCCTGCAGTGAGAGTTGTAGCTGTCTTTCAGCAGCATTGCCTTGCCCACTGGTGGTGTAGTGGTTAAGTTATGTGATTGCTAACCAAAAAGTCAGTCCTTGGAATCTACCAGCCACTCTGCAGAGGAAAGATGAGGCAGTCTGCTTCCATAAAGATTTACAGCCTTGGAAACTCTTTGGGAGTTGCTATGGATTTGAATTGATTGCATGATGGTGGGTTTGGTTTTGGTTTTTGTCTTGCCACTGGGCACAGTGGTCTGCCTGTGGGCCTTGATAGTCCAGTGCTGGATTAGGCTGCATTCTCTAGAGAAGCAAAACCAGTAAAACATATATAG